TCATGTGGACAGTTGTTATCATAGGGAGACTTATTTCAGGACATATAACCATATTATATACCCTATGCCCCTCAGGAACTTGCAACGAGAAGTTGGCACTGATCCTATACACCCATCTATTGTTAAGCCTGTAACTGGTAGGCCTAAAAAGGCAATTGGAGAGGTCAGTAAACCTAGTGTTGCTAAAAAAAAAGCATCTAAGGTGTGGAAGATGTGGGGAGACAGCCCACAACCCTAGGACTTGCAAGGTAACTGAAGCAATGCCTAAGAAAAAAGGTCAAGTAAAAGGTAAAGGAGGTAGACCTCATCTGCCTGTTGTTTCTTGTGTACCTGGTGTACTGCCAGACCATATAGATATACAAAATAAAACTAATGCAAGAGGAAGAGGGGCTGGAGGTAATGAAGCTGATGCAAGAGGAAGATGAGTTGGAGGTAATGAAGCTGATGTAAAAGGAAGAGGAGCTGGAGGTGGTGCATGAGGAAGAGAAGCGGGAGGTGGTGCAAGAGGAAGATGGGCTGGAAGGGTTATAACTGCCACTAAAAGGCAACTATATGAGGTATATTGTTTAAATTATTATATGTTCTCATAGTTTATTATGATTTCACCATTGTAGTAATATTTATCATTTTTTTACTTAAGTTAGTACAATACCATCAAGGTATGGGATTATGCTGAACAATTTGAGGAGTAGCCAAGCATCATCAGCATCAGTTGACTTGAATGTCTTATGGAGTAGTCAATCATCATTAGGAAGGTATATATATTTAAATTGATTTCCATAGTCGTGAAGTTCATTATCTCACTGTAATTCCAATGTTGTTAATCTTTTTTTTATGGCAAACCCACTACAATAGATCTAAGACTTTAGGCACCATTGGGAATAGAATATGCAGCTTATGTTTTTTGCTGTGTTTTGGTATGTTTTGGCAGATGACATCATATAACTTTTGGTAGATGGCAACATACAACTTTTAATCCCAATGTTGTGTTTTTGCTGTGTTTTGGTAAATGGCAGCACACAGCTTTTGTTATGTTTTGTTTTTTTTTCTGTATTTTGGTATACTTTGCTAGCTGTAGATGGCAACACATACCTTTTGTATTTTTGTATGGTTTATGTCTCTGATGGTACAATGGTTTATGTCTGTAATTGTACAATGGTTTATGTCTGTAATGGTACAATGGTTTATATTACTTATGCTATAATGGTTTATTAATTATAACAAGTCTATACAGTTGTGTTCTTTTATTGCAGTTGTGTGGCTTTTATTATTCTTATAAACTTGGTGCAGTTGTGTTCTATTATTGCACTTGTGTTACAATGAGAATTTTATAATGTTGCTATGTTGGTACAGTGAGAACTTTATTATGTTGCTTGGTTGTTATGTTGCTTAGTTGGTGTAGTAAGGACTTTATGATGTTGGTAGGTTAGTGTAGTAAGGAATTGTGTGGTCATGTGATTTAATTGACAATGCGCATATATATTTTGTCTGTATGTTAAAGTATCTTATTGTTAGCAATGTGCACATGTTGAAAAAATAATAATAACTTCCAATTATATTTATTACATTACATTCTATTAACTAACCACACAATTAACATCACAATACCACATGATATAAATCATAACATGAAAACATTGAAATTTGTAATTACAGTGTTTCTAGTTATTCTACTTGTTACAGGTTGTTCCACTTCCAAGTTCATATCCAAGTTTCTTATCGCAACTTTTGCTCTCAAACATGATATTGTCCTCATAGCTACCTCTCTTTCCATTCTACTCAAATTAAGTTCTCTTTCATCTTCATTATGTTGGGGATCTATCCATCTCAAGAACCCACATGACCGTATCGGATAGCTTCCACATCCATAGAACCTTCGCCCTAAATTCGCAGTAGTTATTGCTCTTCTCAAAGGAGATTTTACTCCGCAGTAGCAATACAAATCTTCATGCATTACCACGATATGGTACATTATTCGAACTTCTTGAGGTCATGGATGGCTTTATATGCTACAAACAATTTATACAACTTCATAAATTCATACTAACTATATAACTTTAAAAAAAAAAAAAAAATTAAAGAGTAAAATATACTACATTATACAGAGGTGGAGCAGCAGGATGAAAGAAGGCAAATGATGAGATAGAAGAAGGAAAATGATGAAATGGGTTAATTTATTGGCAAAGGGCTACAACGGTAATATTGAAGGCAATTTCGGAATTAAGAGGAAAGGACAGTCACGTGCAGACCTTGTGGGCCGGAAAGTGGCCGGAATTGCATTTCAGGGGTTAATTTGCACAATTTGTGATAGTAGTGGTACTGACTTGTTCATTTTTATAGTCCAGGGATAAATTGCCGATTTTTAATAGTTCAGGGGGTTGTTTGTACTTTTGCCAACTTTTTCTTTACAAAGTAGAACATTGTTTTTGGGTCCATTTTGTCCGAGTGTGACTGTGTGAATTTCTTGTTGTCAAAGAGAAAAAAAAGAAAAGAAAGTGAACTGGAAGAACTTATTAGTTTTTTCAACATACATATAATTAGTAAGAAATATTTAACGGTTTCATTGTTTGCAATGCATAAAACTTACAAAAAAAAAGAAAAAAAAGAAAAGGAGGTATTATTGTAAATTCATAGAAAATTCTCAAGAAATCACAATTGAGAGTGGTTATGAAAAAATCAAAAAAATTGTTTTTTCTTTTTTGCCGTTCAAACTTTTTCACAGTTTTAAAACTTTTCATTTTCATTTTTTTTTTACCCATCCAATCCAACCAAGCATTACTTGCATTCGTAAGTGCGATGTCAATGGGTTCACCGGGAAATTTTTCTTGATCCGGATAATCCGTATACGCGTCCTCTAAAATGAAAAGTTTCAAACCAAATTGAAACCTGAAATGATTTTTTATTTTTATTTTTTAACTAAACTAATTTTGCACCTTTTTGTTCATGTTTACTAAAAAGAAAAAGTTATAATAGGCTTATGTTATATTCATGAGCATCGAATTTGCGCCTTATAATAATAATTGGAGTTTGAGAAATTTGCAATTTTGATAATCCAATTTGGTTCTCTCAAATATAATGAACTCAATTAAAAATATAAATTTTTATTATTTAAATATATTTTCAGTATTTTTTTTTCCTAAATTATTATTATTATTTTATTTTTTTCCTAGTAATTTTAGATTATTTTATATCAATTAAAATAGTGATATAAAATAGAAAAATAATACTTCTTTAAATTAAAATACAATTAATAATTTTCTTTCTAATTGACACACGTTTCATTTTTCACACAAATGATTAAACACATCCTTTCATTTTCCTATATCGATTGTTCAATTATTGAGACAAATTAGATGAGAGTTTTACATTATAAGAATTGTATTTAAATAAATTTTATTTAACTCTATTTCACTCTTGTTAAAAACATCGTGGGAAAATTAGAATTTATTTTAAATATTTTACTAGTTTAACTCATAAAAACATTAATTAATTTTTTTTTAATAATTTTTTTTACATCTTATCAAATATATCAATTATTATTTTTCTATCAGTGATTAAAATATTTAGTATTTATTTTATTTTATTCGTGTGACTTGATTTTATTATTTTTTAATATTTTATTTTATAGTAGTATTATTTATTTTATCTATCCCAATTTAGATGTCACTTTTGTAGAGTTGAAATTTTTAAGAGAACCTGGACATGCTTTGTCTCTTTGAAAAGTTACTAATTTGCTCTTCAAAATTTTAAGTATTTAATCTTGAAATTTTAAACTCTATAGATATAAATGAAAAGATATAAAATATATTATTTAAAAAAAAAAAAGTGATAAATATTTTGAAACAGATAAAAAAAAAGTATTACATTTATTTTTGGGGACAGAGGGAGTATTAATTAATTACTTAAAAAAGACAGATAAAGATAAGATGAAGATCATGACCGACCACGTGTAACTTGGTAGTGTGTGTGTACACACAACTATATATGTATATTGACACGAGGACAATACTTGGGTACAATCCAGGTTGGATGAAGTTCATCCAACCTGGCTACGTGGACCAATCAATGTAAGACACGTGTCTAAAAATAAAATTAAAATTAAGTTGGGTATTACCCAATTATTCGGGTCTGACCCGTTACTAAAACATTTTTAAAGGGACCAAACTATCCCTAACTTCTACCTCTTCATTCTCTCTCGAATCTGCGCCCCCTTCCTCCTCTGACCTGCAGCCGCAACTATGCTCAAAAGCCTAATCTTCATATATAGAGACACACATACACACAGTTGTACGCACACAGGCAGGCATATATAGCACCGAGAGAAGAGAAGAGAAGAGAAGAAGAACCCAGAATTTGTTCATACCCTAATTTTCTCTGGGTTGAATTCAGAAACCTATTTTTTAATTCAGGCTTTGTTCCATTCTCTGCAACATCAATAATTCCATCAAACACACTGAAGCCAATTTCGCACCCAAACACAATCAACACCAATTACCACCTCACCCACCAAACACAACCTCATCACCAATTACCGCCAATAACTCCATACCCATCACCGCCGCGGCGGATAGCACCCTGGGTCAGCGACTCCATTGGGCCGGTGACGTCAACGGCTTTGATACGATTTTCGGTATACTCGACAAAAAACTCTACCGACTCACCTTCCACAAGACCGAAAAAGCCCCCATCTCGGATCGAGGACCTGTAGACCACGATGCCAACACTAGGAGCGATGAACCCAAAACCAGTCACATGACTGAATCGCTTCACAGTTTGTTCATCCCTCGCCCTTACGGTTCTTCCCTCTCCTTCACCTTCCTTAGCCAACCACCAGTAGAGAGAGAATTAAAGAGGAGAAAGAGAATGAAGAAATAGAAGATAGGGATATTTTGGTCCCTTTAAAAATGTTAGAGTAACGGGTCAAACCCAAATAGTTGGGTAATACCCAACTTAATTTTATTTTTATTTTTATTTTTATTTTAGACACGTGTCTTACATTGATTGGTCCACGTGTCAGGTTGGATGAACTTCATCCAACCTGGATTGCACCCAAATATTGTCCTGGACACAAACTCAGAAACGATCAATATGTAGCACGTCTTTCTCGGTCTAGGACGCGGGTCCAAGTAGTGGCGGAGCATCATCTTATAAGCAACTGTTAAATGATCCGCATACTAGTTTTGCTTCCAAACAAACGTCAGTTTTGTCTTTTCAATTGATTAGAGAACAGATCAATTTCATGGAAACAATGAGATTTTCCTCATTCATGTTGTATTCTCACTCCTCAACATTTCCGTCTCTCTCATTTTCTTCTTCCTCTTCTTCTTCTCTCTCTCCTTTCCGTACCAAATCCACAAATTTCCTTTCCTTCAGATCTCTATTCCCTATGAATCCCATTTCCGATGGAAAACGAAATCTCTCTGTTGTGTGTGGCTCAAAGGCCGAAGATCGAAATCAAAAGTCTTCTTTTCAGGTACTTCTCCACACACACACAGTTGTCTTCATGTTCTTTAATACATGCGAATCTTTATATCATTGAAACTAATCATTCATAGTTATACTTAGACACACACATAGATATATGTTTTTACGATTTACATGGCTACTGTGGAATGATCTGATTTGATGTAGTTAGATGTTGATAATACTAATAATGGGCAGGTTTTCAGACCATAGATTGCTAGTACTTTTCATTTTAAAAAATAGCCAGTTTGTCAGTCATGGTTTGTTGGTATAATTGGAATAAAATCTGGTGAGATAGGTCCTGGTTGTAGTGGGTTTGTGTGTGTGTTTTGTTCATTTTTATTGGGCCCCTTTTCCTTCCTTCTTGTTTTGTGGAGAATGGAGATGGGTCCATGATTGTTTTGGTTATGATAGGGTATGCCCCTGTTTACTGGTGTATTGATGGCATTTGTGCCTCTCTTTGAAATCAATCTTACCTTGCAAAAAAGGGTTTCCTATATATATATCTATATATATATATATATATATATTTTTTTTTTTTTTGTGAATAACAATAATAATAAAAAAGTTTGAGGCTTCAACAATTTTTTTCTTCTTAATTAATTGGGAGTGTGTATTAGATTTAAATTTAAGCGAGGGCTATCCTTAATTATACATTAGATTTCACTCTACTATGTCCTTGGAGGCAGTGCACCATTTACCAATTATATGCTTTGATTGTTTTCTTATTTCCTTTATAATGCATGGTCACCATTGGAATTTGTTGTTGGTAAAGTTACATATAACTTATATAAGTCAAGCAATTTGGAAATGGAGTAACTTGGAGTTAGAATTGTTAATGATTAGACCATCCGAAGTCTTTCGCTCAATGATAATTTTTTATAGGAAGATGATAAACATTGATGTACTACCTTAATGCTTTTAAAATTTTAATCTGGTATTTGTGTATTCATTTAGTCCATCATTTGATTGTTTGTGCTTATTTAGTGTGCCGCCGTTATGGTGCCAATAACTATTTTCTTTTTTTGGCTAATACATCTTTTGCAGGGTGGTGAATCATTTTTTAGGAGTGTCTTGGCGAGTATGGAAGCAGTATATTTAAATAGGAACCCTACTGCTAAAGCCATCTTGGAGCTTGTTGGTTCGGTCAATGACGAGAAGATATGCTATGACCATCTCGCATTTAGGACATTTGGGGTATAAGTTGTTGTTGCTTTTGTACCTTCATTTAGTTAAGAGTCAATTATCTCATTGCTGTGATCTTTTGTCCCTTCCCTTTCACCGTACTTCTGTAACTATTTTTTATAGCAAAGTTTTGTTATAAAGGACAGACAATGTTGAAAATCATGCTGTCGTCACTTCTCATCATTTATATATTTGTGTTTGCCTGTGTTTTTTTTCCCCTCCCTCATATTCCCTCTGCATAACTTTTAACGCACACATGCTTTTATATGACAGCCTTTGCCTTGTATAGTTTGTTTGGGGAATTGAATATATATCACTGATGTTTAATGTCTTTTTGTTTTCTTTGTCATCATAGATAAACGGATATGGAATTGATTCTATGGCAAATTTTTTCCTTGATTTTGGTTATACACAACAAGAAGAGTTGAGATTTCCAGCAAAGAAGTTGAAAGCACTCTGGTTTTCTCCTCCAAGTGTTCCACTTTCTGACGGGGGCAGTGGTGTTAATGGCCCCTTTCCTAGAATATTTATATCAGAACTTCTTGTGGATCAAATGAGTCCATGTGCTCAGGTTTGTTGAGACTTTTATTGATTAGCTGTAGTGAAGATCTTTACCGTTGCTAAGTGTATCCGTGATAGTTGTGATAGAGACAGGAATTATATGTAATTTCAATATTGATGCACTATATTTTATTGACATGAAGTTGATGATCATGCCATGCTATTTCTTAATGTTATTTTATTTGTCTAGGGCTTTCACTTTTGCATGGTCATATCGAGAGTGGGGAAAGTTACTTGGTTTTTGCTACCTCTGAAAATGTTGAAGAAAGTTTTGTAGTAAAAAGAAGCATCAAGCATGACTCATTTTTATTTCTGAATTTGATTAGCATACAATTAGGATATCAGGAGGAAATGCTTTAAATGATGTAGTTGATGAGTAAGGATTTTTGTCCTATATAGTATTAATAATATTTAGTCAAACATAAATTCTAAAGTTACATGTTTGATGTGATGTATTCTTGATTTTTTTGCCCATTTGAATTTTTTTTAATACTTATTAAATAGAACAAGGACCCTAATGGGGTGAGATCTGCTTTACTTGAATAAGGTTTTTATCATTTACCTGTACCAAAAAACTTAGTTAAAATGCCTTTATATTAGGGCCATTCCATACTGCATCAGTAAATGATGCAAGTTTTTTTTGTCTGAGATTGTCACTTGTGTAAAATAATTCCATGTATTAGGTCCGTCTAGTGTTTTCTGTCTCTACTCTTCTCTTCCCCAGTGTCCCCCCAAGGCGGGATCAATAATGGGTAATGGCCTTAAGTTATTACTTGTCTATATCCTCATTTCTGGTTCATATAAGGGCAACTGTTTGTTCCTATCTTGCATTTTCTTTTAAAGTACATTTTTCTTAAAATTTTTGCTCCTTAAATGCAGGATATTATTAAAAAATACATTGAAAATTCTAGCAGTGGAAATAAGCATGCAGTTCTTGCAAGTGCACTGGGATCTTTAACATGGGAAAAGCCCTTATATTCTGAATTCCAACAATTGGCAAGGTATATAGTGTTAATTTATGTGCATATGCACCAGTGTCTATTAAACAAATTCATATATAACTCCTAGAGGAAAGGACACCAATCATAATCTACATCAATTTCTATTAACACTTCATTCTAGCTTTGTTATCTCTAAGCTTAATTGGCAACATAATTTTTTGTTCTGAGCTTGTTGCTTTCAGGTCTTGTGTAAACCATTAATTCTATAAGCCTTACTCTTGATTTGTGAATTCCCAGGGAAAGTGAGTATGCAGCCTGGACCCTTGTCAATGGATATGCACTAAATCATGTCACCATTTCCACTCATAGGCTGAAATCTAAATTGAGGAATATCAAAAGTCTCAATCAATTCATTGAGGAGAATGGGTTCAAGTTGAACTCTGAAGGGGGTGTCCTAAAGGGTTTGTGACTATTAATTTCTTATTCCTCTTACATTTTCTGCTGCTTCCCAGATAAGTTATGAAACAAAATTGCACATTTTAATTACCTTACTGTCTCAACTTCAGGTGAATGCCAATAAAAATTTATTAGTAGTTCTTGGTATCCGTATATTCTCTTTATTTCATGTTAGATTTAATGGGCAAGAAAAGAGGCTAAACTTAAGAAGATATTTGAGGCTCTTCTTCTATGTCTCCGTTAATGTAAAATGAAGATGATAGCCCGTGTGCCCCCTTAAATTGTTTCATGTTGATAGCCTGTTTGCCCCCTAAAGTTGTTTCATCGTTTTCCTCTGGGTGACGTGACCCTGATGGCTTTACTTATCCAAGGGAGGGAGGGAGGGAAAGAATGGGAGTTGGTTGTATGGCTTGCTTAACTCTAATTAACAATAATTATTACATATTAAATATTCTATGATTATTAAAGCTTCTCAAGGGAGCTCTTAAATTTGATGTAGTTATTAAGGCCTTATGCCCCGAGAGGATTAGGTCTCTATATCTTCAAGACCCTGAAATCTAGCGTGGATTGGAATGTTGTATACTCATTCCATCCCAAAATAAATGACCTTTTGGGTAGTCCAACTTTTAAGGTGACACTCAATTATGCACGCGTCCCTTTAAATTTCCACTAATCTAAGGATATACATTGTTTATTTACGAACCTCTTCAAAACTTTTGGATGAATCAGGAAAATATAATTTCTTACATTGATTTTTGAAAGGGGACACTTATTTTGGGACATCCCAAATTGGAAAGACGCACACTTATTTTGGTACGGAAGGAGTATATGATTAAGCACTTGGAGGATGTGTTGCATCCTTGGTCCAGTATTCAAAGTTATGAACTCAAATCATGGGTTTGATCATTTTCCCTCAAGTTGTTTATGTTTCCACCCTGCTTGTGAGTCTGATATTTAACCAGGATGTCAAACTCTAATCGGTTAAATTGGCAGACCTCGGATTGTAATAAATGTTGCAGTTGTTTGATTTGTCTGACAATGAGCTTTTTTAAACATTTTGCAAGTTTGGGAAATTATTTAAGTAGTACTGTAATACATTATTATGCTTTCCATGAGACTTGATGGTTTACTGGGATAGACCAATTATTTTGCCACAGTTTCTAAGAATTTACAGAGTTGTTGTGTTATCAATTCCTTGCTAATTGTGCCCATGTTTAATAATTTTGAAAAAATGACTTACTACTCTGTTTCCTTGATTTCCAGTGAGCCCTGATGGTCTTCTGTTGCAAAGTTCAACTGTGGCAGATTCAGTCTCTTTCCATTTCTCTGATGGTGTCACAGAATCAGTCCCTTGTTCTTATATTGAGTTTGCCGAACGCCTTGTATTGCCACAATACAAAAATTTACCCGAAAATGAGGTCAGCAACGATTAATTTAAAAGTTTTAGCGACTTGTTTCAAACTTATTGATTCCACAGGATACAGGTAAAAAATGAGGTCTTAGTATTAATGCCCCGTGTAACCTCAAGAATACAGCTCTCTGATCAAGTATTTACATGATCTTCACAAACTTCGCTCCATCAATTATTTACATAATCATTTCAAAACCTTACTTATTTTTCATCATTTTATCTGCGTTTAACAGTAGTGCTAGTTCTAGAGCATATGTCAATTGATGCTGTCCTCAAACATTTCAGTCCATATTCAATCTTTGCTAGAAACGTTGCTCTGTTTATGCATTGCTGTTGAATTTACTGCTATGATATGTTTGTAGAGAAGTATATCATTGGTAGTTTTCTTTCCAAGTTCTTCAGTTTGCACCTGTTTGAATAATTAATCTTGAATGTAACTTGGTAATTGCTTATTCTAGAAAAAGTTTCCAATCCATATTGCTTTGAATTTCCCGGATCTTATCCTCACTCAACTTATGTTGCCTCAAGCTTCTCAAATTGCATTATCTTCTGTTGTATATGGTTCTTGATGCCTACCAAGATTGTCACTTCATCTATGCTCATCAATTTATCAACACAAACGTATATTTTTAATAAAGTGAAGCACACTTGTGTTAATAGTCTTTCAATAAAATTTCTATCTCAATTCGTTTTTGATAATAGAACACTCTAGAAGCTCTTTTCCATTTCATTAATTCTTGCTCTAGGTATGGACCAAGGTCTCTTTAGCCTCCCCCCTTTATATAGGATATATCCTAGGAAATAATAATCATTCTTGGTAATCTTTAGATAGTTAATCTTCCTCGTTCCTTTTTTTAGCCACCTAATATTATGAGAGTAACAATTCATTTATTACATTTTCCAGCAGGCTTGCAGCTTAATTTGAACTAGGAATCTATAGCATTTCCCTACAATTTTAACTTTTAATCAATAGTTGTTAGGGTTTTGCTAATTAGACAAAACATACCATGTGCTTTCTACCTAATTGTGCCAAACGAAAGGCTATATACATATACACTTTTAGAAAACTTTCATAATCAATATAAGGAAGATACTAACCCTCAATGTCCACCTTTTGCATTGGAAATTCCCTTGTCTCCTTTAACCTTCACAAATTTACCAGTGGAGTAAAAATTCTATATATATATATATTTTAAAATGATTATTCATTTTTGCCATTCTATGAAGAGAGATGTTTAAGATGATAGTCATGGACTAAAAAGTAAGATTCTGAAAGATTGAGGTGCTGTTTTTTAAGTAAATAGTGTGCTTTATTTTGAATAAATAATGTAATTATCCAATTAAGTGTGCTTGATAATGCAATTTGGAGATTACTAAGTATCACTTTAAATGTATAAATTTTTAAGTGAGTGACACTTCACTTATCCCTAAATACTGAAAAAGTGAAATTCAAACAAGTACCTGAAAAGTTCCAATCTACAACGAGCACTCAAAACTTAACCACCTATAATCTCGTTAAAATTATCATCAAACTGCCTAAATTTAGTACCTACTAACTATTTTGGCAGTTATTACTTTATTGGATACAGTTAGAAGAATTATATAAAAGGATAACATATAATTTTATTTTGGTTTTTAATATGTTGACTATCAAATTTGTTTTCTAACACTAAATTTTGATAATTTTTTACTTTATTAGTATCTGTGGTATAAGTTTTCAGAAGATGTATTTTGTTAGAGGATCTAAATATTTAGCTTACATACTCTCTTTAACAGTTTAAGCTTTCAAAGTATATCATTATTGATTAACTTGGTATAAGAGAAGAAAATGTCATGAGCTCGTGGCGGAAATCCAACTACACATAAGGGACCATATCAGAAGATGCAGACTACTAATCCGTATTACAAGGAGATGTTCTGTTCTGTTTAAGCCTTTAATTCTCATCTCGTATCAAAAACACAGTTTGATAAAACTTCTAATCCATTGTCAATCTTTATTCTCAAATACAAACAGATCTTTTATGTTGAGATTAATGATTTTCTAAGTCGTCTTGAAGTGTATTATAAACGTGTAGAGTTTTGATATGCTTCGGTTGAAACTGAGGTTTCTTAAGCTGTTGGTTTTGTAAAGAACACCAACAGTACCATTAATGTAATAGAACTACATTGAATTTAGCATCACCAGGACCTAAAACTAAGCTTTCGCAATGTATGAGCTTGGTACTTATCTGTGTATGTATATGTGTATAATATGTTAAACAATCTCTATGTTGGTCAAGTTATTACTAATTACTTGTGTTAATGACTTACAATAGGTCAAGGAGTTACATAGGCGAGACGGGTTCGAGGTTGGAAATGCTGATAAGATCTTTGAGAGCACATCCAAGGAGCAGGTAACCAGGAGGACTGCATGAGAAAGTTCAATCATTTGACAAAGTTAACAGCTTCAATGGGGGAATAAGTATCTGTCTGGTTTATGCGTAAGCTCCAGTGGAAATGGTTTTTTATAGCTATAATGGTGTAATTTTGTATGCCATAGTTTTAACAGTTTAATTTGCTTATTTTTGTGATATAAATAAGAGGGGTTTAATATGAGCAGGAAAAAAAAGGGTATACCCAAGCTGACTAGAACTAGCTTGATGGATTTGGATGGTGTATTCAACAAATAAAATTCTTTATAGCTGAAGTTTTTACTTGGGCCTAAAATAACTCTACAATGTTTATATATATATATAATTTCTTTTCTCTTACTTTTTCAAGTATCTTTTTGGTCCCCTGAAAAAAAAAAAAAAAAAAAAAAAAAAATCCCATAATTTTCCTCTTCAAATTCATTTATCTCTTCCTTTTATTTTCTTCTTCTTCCTTTATATATTTTTCTCTTAAATTTTTTTATTCTTGCACTAATATATGATGTATGTGCAAAAACATTTTTCTCAGATCTTTTTTATTTTATTTTTTTTCTCATGTTCTTTAAATTTCACTACAATTTTATGGACTTTGATGTTCATATTTATTATATTTTTGAACTTTTTTTTTTACCATATATCTATATATATATGTATATATATATATATATATATTTAGAATAGTAACATATATATATTTAGAATAATAACATATATTATTTGAATCTTGAGTAGTGAACTTTTATTTTTTGCTTTTTTGTTTTGCTGCAGCGCTAGTTGAAAGAAAAATTGATCATGCTCTTCGGGTCCCTGAATTAAATTAAATTTTAATTCTGATCAACAGGCCAGTAGATTAGTGGGAATAGACACCTATTTTTTTTAAAGAGAGATCAGATATTCGAGTTTCAATGGAGTGGAGACGTGTGTGAGTACAAAAAAAAAAAAAAAAATTCTAATTCTCAAACATCCAAACTATGTTTCCATTTCTCCAAATTATGGTTTAAATTCTCAAATATGTGACAGATTTCTTCTATCACAATGAGAGTAAATCTCCAAACCATGACAAAGGCATTGAAGCTCTGCAATTAGTGATAATACATGAGCCATTTCTTTGTAGGTTGATTTTGCCATTTCTTAGTAGTAAAAACAATTTGGTTAGACAAAATATAGAAGATCTTACATACATAGAAACGGAAAGGTGAATTTATATAACATATACATATGTCAGTGTTAATATCAATTTTGAGTATAATTTTTTCTGATACTCAAATATGCATGGGAAGACTCATCAACCTATGATACCGAATAGGGTCAAAGTCCTCCGCAGCCCCACAATCAATATGTTGTCTTTTTCCTTTGGCTTGCTCTTCCAAATCCAATTTTGGCATTCTTTTTATAAGTATTGGCTTAAAATTTTTCACATTTGTGTATAGAATTGTGAAGGTGTGCTATAGCGAGATGGATAATTCTAAATATTGGAGATTTTATAAAAATAGGTAGATTGAAGATAATTTTAGAAGAATGGAGAGAGTACAAATGTTTAAGTTGGGGAGTTCTAGAGGATAGATCTTACTATAATGCATTCTAACCGTTAATCATAGAGGAGTACGTGTATATAAGGGATGGAGGTGTGTTTTTGTAGTTATCAAATCGTAAGAATGAGAGTTGAAAGTGTGACTGATTTACCTTGGTGATAGTGTGAAAATATGAAATATATATTGCAACAAATGTTTCTTAGAATAATGTACTAGTTGTGTTTAGAATAATCACGCCACATCTTGTTGGTATAATGGCAGAATTTAATTTATACATTGTTTAAACATTTAAAAAAAAAACTGATATATAAACTATAACAAACCTCTCAATTTTTAAAATTTTGTAAGTATCTCCCAACATTCTTTTTTGTACAAACCTCTTTCAACTATTTAAAAACCATTCTAGTTATCCATTCGTTTGGTGAGATGTGATGGAGGTTGATTTGGTGGGAGGGAGGTGGTGGAGTTTTTCTTGCTTGAGCTGTCAACTTGTTTTTCTTTATTCTTATGTCTATTGCTGTTGTTTTTCTTTTCCTTTCATTACTAGGAGATATCTGTTGGTTTTCATAACCATTTGTAATGCAAAGGTATGCCTTTGCTTTTATCGTTGTCCTTACATCAATAAATTTTCCAATTGAACAGGGAAAAAAATAAAATAAAATAAAATACCATTGAGCATCAAATATATCCTACTTATTTTGTATTAATTTTTGAATTCCTATAATGAATCATAAATGTTATTCTCCCAGAGTTCTTAAATTAGAGTTCCATGTACTGGAATCAAAATCTACCCTCAAAGTGACCCCAATGTTAAGTACTTAAAAGATACTACATATATGAATTCAGGTGAGGTTTCGGTCACATAATTCTTCTAAATGGGTGTCGTTTTCCCACTTCGCACTCTCACTCTTGCACTCTATATACGCTCTTCTCTCAAACTCATTATGTGTGACTTAGATTTTTTCACTTTGCGCTCTCATATTTACTCCCACTCGCGCACCCACTGTGTAACTTGGGGTGAGTTGGTGTGTCTAGTTTACAAAATTTTTCTAAACTGGTGCCGTTTTCCCACTTGGCACTTTGTGTACGCTCTCTCTCTCAAACTTACTATGTGTGACTTAGATTTTTTCACTTTCGCCCTCTCGTATTCACTCCCACTCGCGCACCCACTGTGTGACTTGGGGATGAGTCTATGCGTCTAGTTTACAAAGTGACTGCTTAAAGGAGGAATTTGAAACCAATGTAGAAGGTGAAGGTTCATGTCACCACGGACAATATGCATGTGAATTTCTTCTCAAAGAAAAGAGTATATTTCTACTCTTTATTTGCTAGGTTACCACCATTTTAACAGATAGTTTAACCTACCATTTTAACACATTAGGTTTAGTTGCATCACCAAAGGCCTATTTGCACAAACCACCACGCAACATTTATCTAAAAAAAGCACAACACTCATGCAACATATTACATTGATAACGTTACATAATTGTAATTGTGTCATCAATTTATTACAATGTCGATTTAAATTTGCTGTGTTGTGTCAATTTAAATGCTCCGAGCTAACACCTAAATTCGCATGATGTAATCACCCTTCATGTCAAATATATCCAATGTGGAATTGCATTTTGTCAAAGCTTACTTTCCTCTCTGCACGAGCACCACACATCAATTATTGCGTCGCATGGACATCAAGCAAGGAATAGACAATCTAGTATTTACTAATGGTGAATAAATACTTCACAATTAACTTGTACATCATAAATGCAGCTTGCAACAAGTATGGTGTACTATGTTTTTGTGTGTGTACATACACATACAAAGATATATATATAGAGAGAGAGAGAGAGAGAGTGGGGGGGGGGGGGGGGGGGGGGGGGGGGGGGGGGGGGTGGGGGGGTGGATTTGCAAGCATAAACATTTACTTCATGAACTTCAGATCCCCTTACATTACATTCTCTCCCCAAGGAGGTCACCCACTCTCTAAAGATCACCATATAGTGCAAATGTGTTCCTCTGTTTCTTTGCCAGTGGTCCAAGAACAAATGCCTCCGGCAAAGATATATTTATAATCGAACAAAGAAAAGAAAAAATGAATGGTAAAAAGGGATGGCAAAAAATACACAGATAATTTACCAACCAGAACTATGGTTTGCCATTTGGTTTTGGTGAATTACGAGGGAACTGATTATGATGATATGGAGAAGCATGTGTACCATTTGGTATCGAAAGGCTCCTCGGATGTTGCTGCCCATTCCTCGAAAGCAGCCCGGCCTGAGTGCGAAGACCATTTCTAGCATTTGGGCTGGCCCCAACTCGGTCAGCTTGCAAGGTCTGGAAGTAATACGAAGAGCTTGCCATGTCCTTGAGGTTTGGCAGAGGTTTTAAGGCTTCGACAACTTCACTCATCAAAGGCCTGACCTTTGGATCCCGGCTAAGGCAGCGAGCAGCTAACTGCGCAGCTTTCTGTGCACCTTTTATCGAAAAATGGCCTTCAAGCCGAGGATCTATCAATCGGTAAAACCTTCTTCTCTCTCCCAGATGTGGCCGTGCCCATTCCACAAGGTTGTGTTCCCCATTGGGGCGGTTCTTGTCCATTGATCTTCTACCAGTCAACATTTCAAGCAGAACCACACCAAAGCTGTAGACATCACTCCTGGATGTAAGATGTCCTGCAACAAGCAAGAGAATTAGATCCAGATGAAAGAATGGCAGAGTGAAGATTCCCAAATAGCAAGCTATATAGCAGTGGTATCTAAGAACTTTCAGACAGACCCTGTTCATAAAGAAACATCATAAAATATGTAAAAATTAAGTCTCAAAGATCATCCACTTTCCAATCCAAAAATAAAAATTTAAAAAACTAAAGAATAAGACAGGTAAGATGGCCTACAATACAGGGATATCTCCATCAATATTTATATTAAAGACGCCTTCAATAAAGGATATTTAGAATAATAATAATATTCTGAGTATATCAGTTATCACCTATAGCAAAAGTGGTGTAAGTTGACTTCTAGTGTTTCAACCTTTCTCAGAACTCGAAAATTCAAAATCATCAGCAACATGAAACTAATTGAGTTCAAGACCTCCAATCACATGCAACATGATCGTGCGTGTTCACTGGGATCTATTTGCATCGAACCCTTCAACATCAAACCTAATCAGCAAAAGTGATGTGGTGAGTTGAGTTCTAGTGTATCAAGCTTCCTCAGAACTTGAAAATTCTAAATCATCAGCCACATGCAAACTAAATGAGTTCAAGACCACCAATCACACGCGCCATCATCATGCGCATTCACTGGAAAACGCAAAACAATCACACCCCCGTAAAAATAATTAAGGTAACTAACATACCGCAAACCCATATCTTTGTAGAAGGAGATACCATCAAAACAGAATTGGACTTTCAGAATTGTGTCATTCAAACATTTGAGTCAAATGATAGTGAGTCTCACTGGAAAAACACTGACTGAAGTAAACAGATGGACCAACCAGCAAGTCAAGCTGTCATAAGGTTAAAAATTTAAATTACTCTGCTTCGACAGCTCATATACTAAAATGCAGTTCAGAAAGGATGAATGTCAAGTCTTTCCTGGACAAAAGAACATTATTAAAGCAAACAGGAGAATCTACACCAGGCAGGTAACTAGAATAGAAATAGCAGTACATGCTAGACGAGAGCCTGATTAATCCACATTCCACACCAGGATGAAAGGGCTGGGGTAATCAACATTTGTCAAAGACCAATTACATTTACCTGTCATGACATACTCGGGGGCTGCATAACCATATGTTCCCATCACACGAGTAGAGACATGAGTTTTGTCTCCCTCTGGACCATCTTTGGCAAGTCCAAAATCAGAAAGCTTAGCGTTGTATTCCTGGAATAATATGGTATTTTTTTTTCGGAAGATAATATGGTATTAGAGAAACAAGACAATATTATATAATAAAAAATAAAAAAAAAAATGTACTTTTGAAGAACTTGTCACATACTGCATCTAACAGGATGTTGGAGGTTTTAAAATCACGATATATCACCGGTCGTGCAGCTTCCTCATGAAGAAAAGCAAGACCTTTTGCAGCACCAAGAGCAATTTTCATCCTGATGGACCATGGAAGAGGCAGGGATCCTGCACATAATGATAATTATTAGGAGAGAAGAAACAGAAAGACAATGTAAAGGTATCAATCCAGCCATGTAAGAGGTAGCTTCTGTGATCCAATCATCCAACATCGACAGAACTTGTACATAAAACAAAACACATGGTTAGTTGATGGGATCCTTTTTTCACAAACAAATTTCATATCATTCATTTTTGACATGCCGTTTTAAAAAAATAAAATATTAAAGCATATAAAACAATTGCCTGTAGGACAGTAAACTTCCCCAACAAAAAAAAATGATAAAAGCTTGTTGGTTTGTTATATCCTACACTAAGATGCACTATATCATCTGCCAATGGACCTCTCTCTTCAGAATTTGAATTATTGGCATGAAGTGGCAGCCTTCAAACTTGAACCTGTATTCTTATGCTTGACAATCTGAACTACAATTAGTGGACCAAACAATGGTCATTGCATAGAAAACTATGGTTACACTTTACTGTTGAAGGGACCTATCATAACAAAGAATATTTTGTCTCTTGATATATATCAACATCATTTCTGATGTGAAGGGATCATTAGAGAACTTAGAAACGAAGAAATTCATATGCGTGTTATCAAAGCAACAAGTAGCAGACCTGCTTAATTATATCTCTTCCACAGTTGGATGGACTTCCTCCCATATGATCTTGCTCTCTTTAAACATTTTCTAAACCATGGTTTCCTCCCATTCCTACAATTTCAACCTTAATTGCTATAAACCAAGTGTCAGTTCAGCTGGATACTTCTGAGTATCTGACTTTATCATCTGACGAGTCGTGTCAATCGACTCAATCCTCTACATGCATTGCAAAGATCGATCTCCTCTTCCCAATCCAGGTTTTGATAACAACTCAAAAGATGATCTTCACATTAGGGTGGATATCCGCTGTGCACAACACGTGGAAAACCACTCAAAGTTTATCTAAAAGATGGTAAATAGAAAATGAGGGATAGACAGGTGTCAGATTGAGGACACGGCATGATGATCAAGGATAATTTGTTGTTCAGGAAATGACTCTGATTCAGTCACAAGATGACTATAGCTCGACAAGAAAGTTTCAAGGTGCAAGAAGAATGGGAGCAGAGGCAACAGTTCCAAAAATAGTGCCATACAAAATATGATGTGGAAGACTGTTCAAGTCCTCCTACAACTAGTGTACCGCCAAAGGGTTGTGGTAGTAGGCAAGGCAAGTTAGCTCTGGATGTGGTAGAGACTGCTTCTTGGTTTAGTTAGTCACATACTGTTCGTGAAGTTGGTGCAAGTGGCTCTCAGTTAATTGATCCAAACTCTCATGAAACTAGGTTAAGGGAAATGGATCTAGTTCTCCGGAAGTAGACAATTCTTAGAAACTTAATGAAGAAATTCACATAATGTAGAGAATTGCTTTGCCCAGCTATAACAAGATTTGTCACAAATCAAACAAATCAAATAGTGGATTTTTCTGCTGAGATTCTGAAAGTTCATATGCCACAGGTGAAGGTCTTAAGGTTGGTTTGGGAATGGGGAGTCCATGGCCCATCATGTATGAAGTTATGGATTGTGGAAAGCCAGCAATTTAGAGAGAGTGACACAATTACTCTTGTCGTACAGAAGATCACTATAGGTGGTGGACTTCCCAACTTTTCAACTACATCATGATTTGCATGTCGCCAGTATGTAGTTCCATTTTGTATTCTATATTTTAATTATGCATGTTAGTTATTTATATGTTATATTTTTAATGAATTAACCATTTTATTTTATTATTTGACTTACGACTGTTAACGTTTAACATGACTATTGTAACTCATAATTAGAAGAGAGGGAATCACCACTGCTGGACAGGAAGACCTTTCTGATTGGTTTGAGTTTAAAGATGCTGATGACACCATAGCAACTCAATAATTAAGTTCATCTTCCATGCCTGTCTTCTTCTCAGCTCCATGAAGTTGGTTAGAGCTTAAACTCAAATTCTCCACCTAATTACATAGATGTTGATGGTGATCCAGGTCCACTTAGAATAACGATGAGCGTGGGAAGATATAACCATGGTAGTGATCTTGTGCCTTCCGATAGTTCTAGTGGAGTTGGTGCAAGTGAATACGAAGGAGACTGTGATCTAGGTGCCTTCTTGGTAGCGGCGGAAAAAAACTCGGTTAAGAAGAATGTGAACCATATGAAGACTCCTCATCTGATGTTTATGAAAAGCTTTGGGCACTGTATTTCAACTTATGATAGTGATAGTGAAGAAATCCACTAAGCATCATGACAACAATCGTCCAGCTACATATATATATGGTTATGGAGAAGAAGCAAACAGTTACCAACTCAATGTTGCCTTGATTTTCAGCATTGGGGCTTCTCTAATATTACCCTTAAAGGCCTCAAACCATTACAAAGCAGTGGAAAAGAATTTCAACCCAATACTTCTAAATTTGAGATATTCCCTGCTGTTATACTAGTAAAAAAAAAAAATCATGATAGGACAACATATTGGATCTTTCAGGTTATTTATTTATTTTTTGACAAGTGTATTGAATCTTTCAGGTATATATTTCATATTTATAATTTTATTTTATTTTATTATATATGTATTTTTTTTTCTTTTTGTCTGGGCAGGGGGGTAAGTAGCAAACGACAGTATGCCCTCCATGCCACTCTTTTTGGTGGTGATCGTGTCACATAGCTATTATTTTACATTGACGTTAGAATGTTGTTTGAATATGCTTTATTAAACAACTTTCATATAATTTCATGTTTAAGACTTTCAAGGGCATTGGAGATCATAGAAGTGAATGAAGGTATATTTAGTAAAATTTTATTTCCAAAAGTGACTTAAAATTCAATACAAGTACAATCCCATATTAAATCCTGTTAATAAATTCAAATTCAAAAGATAAGTTGGGTTGTCAAAATATTTCTTGTCACCTTAAGAGGTTATTAAGTTTTATATTGCTAACATGTGACTATTCTAATAGTTAAGCTATCAGGGAGGGGAGTGAAACCATACTTCAACACCTTGCCTCATTTGTGACCTTTATGATTGGGTCGTCCGTATTAATAAAAAGGGACATCATCCAGTTCTGGTCCTGCCACGGCGGGATCATTGGGAGGGAGGACTCGAAACATACCTGACCTTTGGTAGTTCACAGAATGACTGCCTTGAGGTTCTAACTCACACCAGTGGCACTGATACTCAAGTTTTTAATCATTGAACCCACAATGACCCTTGGTAGTCCGTCTTAATAAGTTTTGTATTTGTGGGGGAGGCAATGGAATTTGAGATAGTACATTCTTGTTTAGGAATCATCAAGGTCCCAATTAACGGTAACTGCTTTTGAAGTCACAAAATTTTCCTAACGCAACGCACATTAAAATATTCAGGTACAAATGTTTGAATCCCTCCTCATGCAACTCACATTAAAATATGCAGGTAGGGATGTTTGAATCCCAAAATCCAATAGATTTAGGTTCTTATACAGATCCAATTTAATCCCTCTTACTCCCATCTCAACCAAGTGGTAATAAAACTAGAAATCCAAGTGGGTATATAATGAAAATAGAGTCACCAAAAGATATAAAACGAATATAATTAAGAAATTGGAGATGTTGATAATCATAGAAGTAAAATTTTTTGGAGACGTTGGTAATTATATAATTAAATCAAGAGGGTTAAATGTAGGAGTCCTTATAATATTTAGTGTGATCGATGTGTAACACATAGAGAGAGGCAAATGTACATAATATGCGTGTGTGCACGTGCTTATTCAGTTTACAATCATATTTCAGCATTTTTAAAGAATTACCTGGATTTCTGAATTAAGAGAACAATTTAATGACCAATACAACAGCAACAGGAGAATTGAGTCAAAACATGTACCAACTTCCATGAAACTAGGTGAAACAACTGAAAAAAAATTTCCACAAACCAACACAAGTAGACAGTGACACAGGAAACGAACAATCTAATATATATATATATATGTTGTTACTTAGAAAAGGAATTATAACTAACTATCCCAACATGTTTATTAGAGAAAATAGGTTTTATACCCTCTTAGAGGAAAATAGGCTCAGAATTATTTATTTCTATACCATAAATCCTAAGCATCAAACAAATATGGACCAAAATAATCCTCGGGGTACATATTAAAAGAAAGCCAGTTACGTACTCCTGAATAGATGATTCTCCAAGCTTCCTCGAGGCATAAACTCGTACACTAGCAGCCTTTGATCATCTTCAATGCAGTAACCAATAAGTTTAACCAGATTAGGATGAATGAGGTCACCAAGAAAATTCACTTCGGCCTGCCAAATGAGACGAGAATTGAGAATAACCAAGAACTAAAAAGAGAATGGTCATAAGTGATATTGTGAAATGCATTAGGAAAGTATCAAACCAGCCATTCTTTGTGACCCTGAAGCCCATCATGGTTGAGGGTTTTCACAGCAACAGTAAGTCCTGTACCGGGCTTTACTGGTGCAGTTCCATTCTCTTCAATCCAGCCTTTGAAAACACAACCAAAGCCACCTTCACCAAGGAGACTCTCTGGTCTAAAATTTCTTGTTGCTAGCTTGAGATCATTAAATGCGAATTTCCGAAGCCGAGAAGCAACTTTAAGTTCCTCTTCAAGTTTGGAAGTGGAAGAATTACTTTCAGCATTACTTGGAGTAGTTGATGAGACTATCACAGCAACTTGTTCGTCTCTGCTCGTATCATTTGTAGATTTACTTTCTGTTGATACATAAAAGGAAGCAGGATATAAAAACATAAATATAAAATACCAAAAGGAAGAAAAAGGCAGGTAAGTTTACATAGCACTAAAACTCCCACTGTTTAGGCAATTATGGTAAAACAAATTCTTATGCGGTACAAAAGATATACAAGATCCACTTCAATGAAACAGGACACTAGCATGACAAGGCTGTGAGTTGTTGGATGCAGCTATTTAGGAAGTAAAGAGAAAACCTCTAATAGCAAGACCAAATTATGGTGTGCCTAGTTCCCAAACCCAAAAGTCTTAAAAGTCATGAGCAATTGAAATCTTCTTGTAGGCATGCATTGAACAAACCATCTGCTAGTTATTTCACTACATGATATCTAACCTGCTAGCTTGAGTGCACAAGATAGGATTATCATATCATGTTTCCTAAAAGGTTATAAATGAAACATCAATTTAACATAAAGTAAGTAGGAGCAACTAATTTTCCTCTGAAATCCACCTAAGAAATCCTTCGAATAAGACACTTGAAATAGGCCACTGTACATTGTTCTGGTCTTTAACAGAAGTTATTCTTCTCAGGTGATAAGATTAAGCACACCTTAAACGGATCAATCTTTATATGCCTCGCTTAGATTTTGGGTGAAGGCAGGCCTTGGCGCAACGGTAAGGTACAGGTTCGAAATGGGAAACAGCCTCTCCGCACACGGAGGCAAGGCTGCGTACATCTGACCCTCCACAGACCCCTCAACGGCGGGAACCTCGTGCACTGGGCTAGCCCTTTACTTAGATTTAGGGTATATTAAGATTAGTGAACTAACAGTGGAATTGAGGATTTTGAACTAAAAGCTGATTTAGCACAGAGTCGAGAATCTGATGCTACAAGTGTTGACAGACCCAACTGGACAATCAGATCAAGGCCAAAACTCACAAATAATCTATATTGAGCAGAATTATGCAAGATCCAGATGCTGCAGGCATAAAATAAAGTCCTAATAAGAAGGAAGATAATTCAGAAAAAAAAAAAAAAAACACTTAAGGCGAATTTTATTACAAGTTTTATTACCACAGGTATATATAGTTTTAGTAACTTAATCCCGGAGCAGCTTTTCTTAATTCCTAACTTCTTTACTTGCACGTGATTCACTTTTCTTTTCTTTTTTTTCCCTAATTCATGTGATTCACCTTCAAGTAGCACAAATTTATTGATTACTTACGAACCTAATTAAATCATGCAAACAACCAAAATAAACCAAATAAAACCATTATAACTAAACATATAACAGATCAAGGGCTGTAACCTAATGGTACTTCCACACCTGTCAAAGTAGAACGTCGAAGGTTCAAGTCCCCATAGGAGCAACTAGCAAGTGTGCCTGGGAGTTTCAACTAAGGAAATAAAGAAAAAAGAAAAAAAACAGATAACAGGCCATTATCAAGTTGGCCCGCATATGGAAAGGAAAACGGGAGACAGACCTAACATTTCACATTACGTTGCATAAAGTGGTTGTTCTTAGACTAGAATCCTATCCTCAAGCTTGTTAACCCAAGCTTGTACGATTGCACCAACCAATGACAACTTACAACTAGATTATAAATCCAATCCAATACTAAACTTACTTAGTGTCCCAAAATTATCCCTTGAACTTCAGAATTAAATTCAAAAAAAGTGGGATGCAATCCTATGTGATGCTTAAAAAAAGTCAAACATATCAATTAAGAGACATGAAAAAGCTAACAGATCAAAGAAATCTAACATCATTTTAATCAATAGGCACTCCAAGCCAATCTCAAGAAACAAGTAGGACATTTCTTAAAAATTTGTGACAAAGAAAAAACTTAGCATTTTTCACATGCAACCCAAATTGGTCCAAATATTAGAGGTCTTAAATATCAAAAACTGAACCCTTCGTGAACACATTGCTACCTTTCCCACATTGGATTTGAAAAATAATGGTTTCTTCATTAATAAAGTTTTTGTTAATGCAAAAGATTAAAGTGCAGCTCTCTTGAATAATAAAATAGCCTGCTACACAATTGGGATAGACTCCAGTTAGTGAATTCATGGAGGACAAGTAAATCAGTTCCGGGTTTGTCTTTAGGTAAAATTTGGTAAGTTATGATGAACTATCATACAACAGATCTCAATAATTAATGAAGCTCTTTATGTTGCCCCTAAGATTGTGTAGCTTTTCTCAGAGTATAACAAAACAAAATTTTAGTCTTGGGCAATGCTATATTTTCAATTATAATTTGTTAACACGTTCTAGTGAATTCAAGACAAACAATTGGTACATATGCCTTCTGAATCAGAAAAACAGTAACAAAATAACACACACACACGCTTGCAATACATGCATGTGAATCAATTCTGTATAAATTCTACAGTTCAATAAATGATGTAAGGCAAGCTTTATTGAGAACACAGATCACATAGCAACAAAAAAATATATAATTAAACATAAGGTACAACAATTTAAAAGAAAATAAAGGCATACCGCAGTGAGTACTGATGCCACTAATAGAGCTATCAACTTTAGATCTTGATGAAATACAGCTACCAATAAACCTCAACTTAACCCAACACCCAGTCTCCTCCACAGCACCATCTTTCTTCTTCTTCTTCTTCCCACCCTTTGATTTGCCCACATCCCAAGACTCTACTTTAACGCCATCCCCACCTAATCCCATCTTTCACAAACCCTTGAATCAAACCCAGATATCATCAAAACCCAAATCCCCAAAAATCACCATACACCCGGCTTCCCCTCCGTCCACCACCACCACAACCACCACCCCAACTACCACCCCCCTTACACAAGTCACGAAAAAGTCCCCAAATAGTCCCTGATTTTCATAATCATTTTTTCTTCAAACCCTCAAAAATCTGATGAAAATAACTCAAAACCCACTTCAAAAAGTCACAGCACAGATAAGATTAAAGTGCCCTCCACCACCATCTCTCTCACACAACCCAAAGAAAAGCAAGATTTTCCAGATAGTCCTTCACTTTGACAGCAAATTCCTCAAAGACCCCCCCAAATCAAGTGTAATAACTCCGACCCAATTCAGAAAATCAGAGAAAGATGACACTGATGGCCTCAAAAAAGAGTCAACTGATCCAGATCACATGCTTGACCTTCAAATAAACCATGAACAAACTTGCTTAAGCACTCCACTACAAGCTGTATCAGATAATCTCAGTTCAAAAGTGCCTGCTCCTACAGAGATACTGAAATCTCAACAAAGGACCTAAAGAAGCTGACCAGTTCAAAGCACAAAATAAATATATATATATGTATATATATATTGTCTATATATACATATTAAACGAAAATAAATTATATAAAAAAAATGTAAGAGTATATAGTAGTAACAAATACACAGAATTATCGGTTCTTTCTCTTTTAAAAAAATAGAACCAAAGACTAGAAAAAGCAATTGGGAGCTGCCCGGAGAATGCGGGTAGATGGGCAGGTTTGTGCTACCCGAATCGCCCATCAGACAAATTGACTGTACGGAGAGGCAACTACTACTTGTATGCACTATGTAAGGGTTCTTTGGGAAATATAAAAAAGAGTAAAGAAAGAACGGTCAGTTCGGGCAGAGAGAAGTGGAAAATGTGGCCATTGCCGGTACGGGTAAGAGAGAGAAAGTGTTAGAGAGAGAGAGAGAGAGAGAGGATGGGACCCACTTGAATGGTAACGTGTCTGACGCTGGTGTGAGGACGAAAACACGCGCGACAGGGTGGCTCTTATGGGCGCTATTTATATATATTTTAAGCAATTTTTAGGATATATAGCAATACCATAAACCACCCTAGGTTTCTGAAATATAATGAAATATATATTCCTTTTATGATATGATTATAAGTTTCTATTAATTGAAATGTGAAATTAGAAGAATTAAGACTTGTTTGAGTAATGAAATTTTATTTGGTTGACACTTTGAAAAAATTGTTCTTTTAAAATAGAAAGTTTAATTATAATAATAATAATAATATTGTTTCTTTGAAAAATCTGATGAGTATTCTGAGATACTATTCTAAGATAATGGAAAAACAAAAAATTCTTTTCCTTGGCAATTTTTGGAAGCGAAATTAAAATTGTCTACATTCATATGACAAGCCTTTCATAATTTCTATTTTGTTTTTAAAAGTCTTAAAAACTGGTCCCAAAATTTATGAACAAATAAATCAATTTGTATTTTTGTCCAAAGTTATTTGGGAGGACATTTATGTTATATTTGAGAATATAGAGGTTGAATTTAAAATTAAAGAATCAAACATAGTTTAGTTGATTTAAATAAACTTCACTCGTACTCTCACTATGTGTAACTTAAATTTTATCATTTTTATACTACTCCTCTCGTATTCAGCTTTCATTCTTATTTCTTGCTTACTTGACTTAAATAAGAATATGACATAAAAATCACTTTGCATTAATAATATGAAAAGTGATTTACACATTCCACACTCATAGTACCCTCAATTATTATGATAAATATATGTTAAAGGTAAGTCGTAATTTAATATCCATATTATAAATAAATGGACTTAAAAGTGATGAATTAGCCAGGATATATATAGCATGTTTTAGCTTCTTTGATAGGTAAAGAACATGTGCGTAGGGTTGGCATTGAGCTTGCTTGATGAATTATTTAATGAGCTTAGCTTTATATTAACGTATCATTTAATGAGCTAATGCCTTCAATGATAGCCAAATTCATCTTCCTAAGATTAATATCTCCTTTGGGATGAAAATGGTCAATAAAAGGAAAATTGTATTTAGAGAGGTCAGTCGGTTAAATTAATCGGAGAAAGTATTAAATATTTCAAAAAATTACTCTTTGCAATGCTGACAGGATGTAACGGACGGTTACAAATACTTCATCAAAGTAAAATGGACCTATAATACAACTAAAAATTATCTGTGTACCATGTGAGTGTTGCAACGAATAATTACTCAAATATCATGGGGTATGGTACTCTGGACAATGACAGCCCTTGGATCATAGATGTGGTGGTGGTCCCACCACATTTAAGGGCTGGAATAACCCAAAATACCATACCTCTGAGGTATCTAAGCTCAACCGATGGAGTAGCAACCTATTCAACCTATATAATGTAACTCAATTGGTACTACATATTATACCATCGTGAAGCCCTAGTTTGATTGCATGATCTTTTTTTATATAAAATGAAAAATTTAGCCATTCCATAACTATTTATTTCAACATTTTTATTTTTGTTTATATTTGTATTGTATAATTAAAAAGAATAGTGAATAAATCCTTAAATGATTTTTGTTTATTCGATTTATTATTGAAACAAATGTGTTATTTGATAATAAATGAATCATATTTGTGTCAAAATTCAAGAACACTCGACTAAAATATTAAATGTATTGTGTTCGAGTTAAACCATATATACGACAAAATATTTGTATCTCAATAAGACTAAAAATGATCCATTGAACACAAATGGCTACCCCTACAAGTTGTATATGAGTTGGCAGAATGCACGCGCGACAGGATTGTTCTTATGGGTGCTATATATATATATAAGCAATTTTTAGGGTATATAGCAATACCATAAACCACCCTAGGTTTCTGAAATATAATGAAATATATATTCCTCTTATGATATAATTATTAGTTTCTATAAATTGAAATGTGAAATTAGAAGAATTAAGACTTGTTTGAGTAATGAAATTTAATTGGTTGACAGTTTAAAAAAATTGTTCTTTTAAAATAGAAAGTTTAATTATAATAATAATAATAATATTGTTTCATTGAAAAATCTGATGAGTATTCTGAGATACTATTCTAAGATAATGGAAAAACAAAAAATTCTTTTCCTTGGCAATTTTTGGAAGCGAAATTAAAATCATTCATATGACAAGTCTTTCATAATTTCTATTTTGTTTTTAAAAGTCTTAAAAACTAGTCCCAAAATTTATGAACAAATAAATCAATTTGTATTTTTGTCCAAAGTTATTTGGGAGGACATTTATGTTACATTTGAGAGTATACAGGTTGAATTTAAAATTAAAGAATCAAACATAGTATAGTTGATTTTTAAAATTAAAGAATCAAACATAGTATAGTTGATTTCATAAAATTTTAAATGTACAATACATTCTAAAACCTGATATAATTAACTAGTTAAAATTTAAGTCACACAATTCTTTTAAATGAGTTTACTCCTTCAACTCTCATTCCAACTTCTCAGTTTACACATTCCACACTCATAATACCCTCAATTGTTATGATAATTAAATGTTAAAGGTAAGTGGTAATTTAATATCCATATTATAAATAAATGGACTAAAAAATGATGAATTAGCCAGGATATATATAGCATGTTTTAGCTTCTTTGATAGGTAAAGAACATGTGCGTAGGCTTGGGATTGAGCTTACTTATTGAATTATTTAATGAGCTTAGCTTTATATTAACATATCATTTAATGAGCTAATGTCTTGAAAGATAGCCAAAATCATCTTCCTAAGATTGATATCTCCTTTGGGATGAAATGGTCAATAAAAGGAAAATTGTGTTTAGAGAGGCCACTCGTTAAATTAATTAGAGAAAGTATTAAATATTTTGAAAAATTATTCGTTACAACACTGACGTGGTACAACGGATAGTTACAAACACTTTATCAAAGCAAAGTGGACTTATAATATAATCAAAAAGTTAATAAATTTACTTTGATGGAATGTTTGTAATCATTCATTGTACTGAATAATTACTCAAATACCCTGAGTTATGGTACTCTGGACAATGGATTATAAATGTGTTGGTGGGCCCCACCACATTTAAGGGCTGAAATGACCCTGAGATACCGTACCTCCCATTTATTTAATACTTTCTTGATTAATAGTAACAACCTATTCAACCTATATAATGTAACTCATATATAAAAATTGATACTACTATTATACTATCATGAAGCCCTAGTTTGATAGCACGATCTATTTTTATAAAATGAAAAATTTAGCCATTCCATAACTATTTATTTCAATATTTTTATTTTTGTTTATATTTGTATTGTATAATTAAAAAGAATAGTGAATAAATCCTTAAATGGTTTGTCATGTTACATGTTGTACGATTTATTATTGCAACAAATATGTTATCTGATAAATTAATGAATTGTGTCTGTGTTAAGACTCGAAAACACTCTGCTCAAATAATAAATATATTGTGTTCGAGTTAAACCATATATATGTCAAATATTTGTATCTCAATAAGACTAAAAATGATCCATTTAACACAAATTGCTACCCTACAAGTTGCATATGAGTTGGCAGAATGCATAGATATCCTGCATGGATGTAACCAGTAGAACATGTGGAGATTATAACAACTATTATAATAGATAACAAATCTCATTAATATTATTGGTCACATGCACGAGATGAGATTGGATATATATTCATGTATTGTAGAGAATCACCCCTGGTACAGTATCATGGTAGTATTACAGTTGGATCGGATGAGATCTTGTCTTTTTTTTTTTTTTTTGAAGACTTATATAATCTGTTGTGCGACTGTCACTAATATTTCTCTTAAGTATATATACGAGTATTTTTACATTCCCGCTCTCATCCTAGTAGTCAAAGTTCGAATTGCGATTATCACCAACACTTCTCCTAGAGTAATTTAACAATCAAGACGCGATAGCATTTCTCCCAGTATCTATGCGTGTATTTTTATACTCCCGACCTAACAGGCAGTGTTAGAATTGTGAATGTCACCGACACTTCTCTCAAATTCTATTCGGTAGGGAAAAAAAAAAATTTGGGATGAAAGGGGGAGAGGAAGAAACGGATGAGATATTACTAAAGAAGAGATTGTGTACATATTTCCTTCTTTTTGTTCAGTTAGATAAAAGAGAATAGAATAATCTCATAATTTATTATGTTCGTTAGGAAAGAATGAAAGAGAACGTTGTAATTATTTTTGCCATTACATCCAATAATATTGTAGTTTATAAAGGATAGTATTGCAATTTAAAACTTGTATAATTTAGAATAATATTTAATTTAAAACTTCTATAAAACTCGATTTACCTTTCGTCCTTTCTTCCGCCCATTTTTCAAAAGGAAGAAAATTTGTAAAGAATGAATGATTGAGGGTAAATTGGTAATTATCTAGGAAGATCCGGGTGCAACCGAGCACACCGTTGGAAAGACAGTGAAAAATTAATCAAGTTCAAAAAAAAGTTCACTCGATTTGGAGTCCGGACGAAGGAGAACGAACGAAAACAAAAAATCGACGTTATGACGTCGAGACGGGACACCACGAACACCATGACATGCTAGGAAAGAAAAAAAAAAAAATCAGTCAGAACTGAGAGCCGAAACAAAATCCCAAACGAATT